TAGGGACCACCTGCCTTGGAGTGTTCTTCCTCATATTTCTGACAGGTAAATCTAATAGAGACCACCTGCCTTGGAGACCACCTGCCTTGGAGTGTCCTTCCTCATGTGTCTGACAGGTATGTAGGGACCACTTGCCTTGGACATGTGTCTGACAGGTAAATCTAATAGCGACCACTTGCCTTGGAGTGGCCTTCCTCATGTTTCTGACAGTTTAATATAATAGGGACCACCTGCATTGAAGTGTCCTTCCTAATATTTCTGACAGGTAAATCTAATAGGGACCACCTGCCTTGGAGTGTCCTTCCTCATATTTCTGACAGGTAGGTCTAATAGGGACCACCTGCCCTGGAGTGTCCTTCCTCATATTTCTGACAGGTAAATCTAATAGAGACCACCTGCCTTGGAGTGTCCTTCCTCATGTGTCTGACTATAGGTCTAATAGGGACCACCTGCCTTGGAGTGTCCTTCCTCATGTGTCTGACAGGTAGGTCTAATAGGGACCACCTGCCTTGGAGTGTCCTTCCTCATGTGTCTGACAGGTAAATCTAATAGGGACCACCTGCCTTGGAGTGTCCTTCCTCATATTTCTGACAGGTAGGTCTAATAGGGACCACCTGCCTTGGAGTGTCCTTCCTCATGTGTCTGACAGGTAAATCTAATAGGGACCACCTGCCTTGGAGTGTCCTTCCTCATGTGTCTGACAGGTAGGTCTAATAGGGACCACCTGCCTTGGAGTGTCCTTCCTCATATTTCTGACAGGTAGGTCTAATAGGGACCACCTGCCTTGGAGTGTCCTTCCTCATATTTCTGACAGGTAAATCTAATAGGGACCACCTGCCTTTGAGTGTTCTTCCTCATGTGTCTGACTATAGGTCTAATAGGGACCACCTGCCTTGGAGTGTCCTTCCCCATTTGCCTGACAGGTAAATCTAATAGGGACCACCTGCCTTGGAGTGTCCTTCCTCATGTGTCTGACAGGTAGGTCTAATAGTTACCAACTGCCCTGGAGTGTCCATCCTCATGTGTCTGACAGGTAAATCTAATAGGGACCACCTGCCTTGGAGTGTCCTTCCTCATATTTCTGACAGGTAGGTCTAATAGGGACCACCTGCCTTGGAGTGTCCTTCCTCATATTTCTGACAGGTAGGTCTAATAGGGACCACCTGCCTTGGAGTGTCCTTCCTCATGTTTCTGAAAGGTAGGTCTAATAGGGACCACTTACCTTGGAGTGTCCTTCCTCATGTGTCTGACTATAGGTCTAATAGGGACCACCTGCCTTGAAGTGTCCTTCCTCATGTGTCTGACAGGTAAGGTCTAATTTGGACCACCTGCCTTGGAGTGTCCTTCCCCATTTGCCTGACAGGTAAATCTAATAGGGACCACCTGCCTTGGAGTGTCCTTCCTCATGTGTCTGACAGGTAGGTCTAATAGGGACCACCTGCCTTGGAGTGTCCTTCCTCATATTTCTGACAGGTAAATCTAATAGGGACCACCTGCCTTGGAGTGTTCTTCCTCATGTGTCTGACAGGTAGGTCTAATAGGGACCACCTGCCTTGGAGTGTCCTTCCGCAAGTGTCTGACAGGTAAATCTAATAGGGACCACCTGCCTTGGAGTGTCCTTCCTCATATTTCTGACAGGTAGGTCTAATAGGGACCACCTGCCTTGGAGTGTCCTTCCTCATATTTCTGACAGGTAAATCTAATAGGGACCACCTGCCTTGGAGTGTCCTTCCTCATGTGTCTGACTATAGGTCTAATAGGGACCACTTGCCTTGGAGTGTCCTTCCTCATGTGTCTGACAGGTAGGTCTAATAGGGACCACCTGCCTTGGAGTGTCCTTCCTCATGTGTCTGACAGGTAAATCTAATAGGGACCACCTGCCTTGGAGTGTCCTTCCTCATATTTCTGACAGGTAGGTCTAATAGGGACCACCTGCCTTGGAGTGTCCTTCCTCATATTTCTGACAGGTAAATCTAATAGGGACCACCTGCCTTGGAGTGTTCTTCCTCATGTGTCTGACAGGTAGGTCTAATAGGGACCACCTGCCTTGGAGTGTCCTTCCTCATGTGTCTGACTATAGGTCTAATAGGGACCACCTGCCTTGGAGTGTCCTTCCTCATGTGTCTGACAGGTAGGTCTAATAGGGACCACCTGCCTTGGAGTGTCCTTCCTCATGTGTCTGACAGGTAAATCTAATAGGGACCACCTGCCTTTGAGTGTCCTTCCTCATATTTCTGACCACCTGCCTTGGAGTGTTCTTCCTCATATTTCTGACAGGTAGGTCTAATAGGGACCAACTGCCTTGGAGTGTCCTTCCTCATGTGTCTGACAGGTAAATCTAATAGGGACCACCTGCCCTTGAGTGTCCTTCCTCATATTTCTGACAGGTAAATCTAATAGGGACCACCTGCCTTGGAGTGTCCTTCCTCATGTGTCTGACTATGGAGTGTCCTTCCTCATGTGTCTGACAGGTAGGTCTAATAGGGACCACCTGCCTTGGAGTGTCCTTCCTCATATGTCTGACAGGTAAATCTAATAGGGACCACCTGCCTTGGAGTGTCCTTCCTCATATTTCTGACAGGTAGGTCTAATAGGGACCACCTGCCTTGGAGTGTTCTTCCTCATATTTCTGACAGGTAAATCTAATAGAGACCACCTGCCTTGGAGTGTTCTTCCTCATGTGTCTGACTATTGGTCTAATAGGGACCACCTGCCTTGGAGTGTCCTTCTGACTCATAGAGATCCTGCCTTGGAGTGTCCTTGACATTTGTCTGACAGGTAAATCTAATAGGGACCACCTGCCTTGGAGTGTCCTTCCTCATATTTCTGACAGGTAGGTCTAATAGGGACCACCTGCCTTGGAGTGTCCTTCCTCATATTTCTGACAGGAATGTCTAATAGGGACCACCTGCCTTGGAGTGTCCTTCCTCATATTTCTGACAGGTAGGTCTAATAGGGACCACTTGCCTTGGAGTGTCCTTCCTCATGTGTCTGACAGGTAAATCTAATAGGGACCACCTGCCTTGGAGTGTCCTTCCTCATATTTCTGACAGGTAGGTCTAATAGGGACCACCTGCCTTGGAGTGTCCTTCCTCATGTGTCTGACAGGTAGGTCTAATAGGGACCACCTGCCTTGGAGTGTCCTTCCTCATATGTCTGACAGGTAGTGTCAAATAGGGACCACCTGCCTTGGAGTGTCCTTCCTCATATTTCTGACAGGTAAATCTAATAGGGACCACCTGCCTTGGAGTGTCCTTCCTCATATTTCTGACAGGTAGGTCAAATAGGGACCACCTGCCTTGGAGTGTCCTTCCTCATATTTCTGACAGGTAAATCTAATAGAGACCACCTGCCTTGGAGTGTTCTTCCTCATGTGTCTGACTATAGGTCTAATAGGGACCACCTGCCTTGGAGTGTCCTTCCCCATTTGCCTGACAGGTAAATCTAATAGGGACCACCTGCCTTGGAGTGTCCTTCCTCATATTTCTGACAGGTAGGTCTAATAGGGACCACCTGCCTTGGAGTGTCCTTCCTCATGTGTCTGACAGGTAGGTCTAATAGGGACCAACTGCCTTGGAGTGTCCTTCCTCATGTGTCTGACAGGTAAATCTAATAGGGACCACCTGCCCTTGAGTGTCCTTCCTCATTTGTCTGACAGGCAAATCTAATAGGGACCACCTGCCTTGGAGTGTCCTTCCTCATATTTTTGACAGGTAGGTCTAATAGGGACCACCTGTCTTGGAGTGTCCTTCCTCATATTTCTGACAGGTAGGTCTAATAGGGACCACCTGCCTTGGAGTGTCCTTTCTCATATTTCTGACAGGTAGGTCTAATAGGGACCACCTGCCTTGGAGTGTCCTTCCTCATTTGTCTGACAGGTAAATCTAATAGGGACCACCTGCCTTTGAGTGTCCTTCCTCATATTTCTGACAGGTAGGTCTAATAGGGACCACCTGCCTTGGAGTGTCCTTCCTCATGTGTCTGAAAGGTAGGTCTAATAGGGACCACCTGCCTTGGAGTGTCCTTCCTCATATTTCTGACAGGTAAATCTAATAGAGACCTCCTGCCTTGGAGTGTCCTTCCTCATTTGTCTGACAGGTAAATCTAATAGGGACCACCTGCCTTGGAGTGTCCTTCCTCATATTTTTGACAGGTAGGTCTAATAGGGACCACCTGTCTTGGAGTGTCCTTCCTCATATTTCTGACAGGTAGGTCTAATATGGACCACTTGCCTTGGAGTGTCCTTTCTCATGTGTCTGACAGGTAGGTCTAATAGGGACCACCTGCCTTGGAGTGTCCTTCCTCATGTGTCTGACAGGTAAATCTAATAGGGACCACCTGCCTTTGAGTGTCCTTCCTCATATTTCTGACAGGTAGGTCTAATAGGGACCACCTGCCTTGGAGTGTCCTTCCTCATGTGTCTGAAAGGTAGGTCTAATAGGGACCACCTGCCTTGGAGTGTCCTTCATTTTTCTGACAAGGAAGTCTCAGTCATAAGAGGAAAGGTCAAATCATTTATAGGTGTTTCACTCTTTGTTTACTTTTCATACCAAAGTTCTGACAGAAGTATGCCTGCAAAAGAATTTTTGATACCAAAGTTTGACTGAAATCCCCCTATAGCTGTAGCACAACTTTTAAAAATGGAAGTTTGATTGTGTCTTTGAGATACTTTTTTGATACGAAAGTTTGAAGGTTAGCTACAAAATATTTTTTTATACCATAGTTAGTGACTCAAGTGTGATTTAAGAACAATGTTTTATTAATAGAATGAACAAACGTTTTCTACAATTATTCTTATCAAAAGTAAACAAAACAGGGATGATAATTGCAGTTAGCAACAGATGAAAATCACAGCCTATATATTGTGTTAGTATTGTTGGCTAACTTACACAAAAAGTAAATCTGCTCAGTAGTTTGGAATCTCTTAGCTGCTACTTTGAAACTTAATGACATTTCTGTTTAAACATGTCTGTTGAATAATGTTATTTTTCTGTCTTTAGGCTCATGTTCCTACACAAATCGGCCGAGGGTACGCACAGTGTTGCAGAATATATTCAGCATCATCAAGGAAGCTGGGCATAGATGGCGACACCGAAATTCCAATGGTAGTTTGAGAGCTCACAGTGACAGAACTGGAGAGTATGTTGATATATGTACCATGTGATTAGTAAGGAGTTATAAGATATAAGTATTCTGTAATTATAACAGTATCTGCTGCCTAACCATATCAATCCCCAATCTTCAAATGGTTTCCCATGTCAAAAAAGGTACAAAAATGTTATAATCTTTAATGCTAGATTGAAATTGTTTGTAAGTTTCAATATAGTACAACAAAGGTACTAACAAGTTGTAGTGAAATATTTTGCATTTAGATCCCTACTTTAAAGAGATATCCTCTTGTATCTCCAGTGGGGACAAAATGGGTCATTGTTGAAAGCACAGTTGCACATATTTAAATATAAATTTAACAGTAAGTGTGCCTGGTAATAAGCCCACCCCCTGACTTAGAGTTAATATTTGTATGTCATAGCAGGGTAACCAGTAAATACATGTTACATTTCTTTTCAAAAGGTCGTCAACGCTTGACAACACAGACAGCATAGAAATCACCCCAGACAATAAACCAGCTTGTTGCCTTGACTACGCAAAGTTTCAATATGGTGGTAGCTTCAACAACTCCCAGGTGGAAGATGTCAAGAAATTAGGGAAGATAATCTGTGTCTTCCTCGCGTTTATACCCTATTGGATGGTCTATTTTCAGGTTTGTATGCTACAATCTTTGTCATTTAAATGCTTGTAGCCCTTAAAGGATGTCAAAATGAAATTTGTTCTGTCCTCAGTACAACATTAACAGAATGATATAGTATGTTCATACAGGAAAATATGCTCAGAAATAAACCTAAAGGTTAATCTTGAATTAAATGATATAACAATTAAAGCTTTCTATCAACAGAAGAACTCAGAAAGAACTGACTGTAAGTGTTGACGACTGTAAACAATAAGTGGTGACAAACAAAATAGTGTAGAAAGTGATCATACCTGATAGATATTGCTAGGATTGGATAGGAAAGACAGTGACTATAATGGTAACAAAATGTTAAACATGGGAATGAGAAAACACTCTATGCTTGAGTAAATTTAAGATTAAGTCTGGGAAAATAGCTGCTGGGTGTTATGAAGACAGAAAATATTAATTAAAAAAAAACACTTAATCATCGAGACATGAAACACAGATCTTTTTGAGTGTACATTTTACATTATTTAATCAGCCCATATATATTCTGATGTAGGTATATATCTCCACCTCATATATATTCTGATGTAGGTATATATCTCCACCCCATATATATTCTGATGTAGGTATATATCTCCACCCCATATATATTCTGATGTAGGTATATATCACACCCCATATATATTCTGATGTAGGTATATATCACACCCCATATATATTCTGATGTAGGTATATATCTCCACCTCATATATATTTTGATGTAGGTATATATCACAGCCCATATATATTCCTGTGTAGGTATATATCACACCCCATATATATTCTGATGTAGGTATATATCACACCCCATATATATACTGATGTAGGTATATATCACAGCCCACATATATTCTGATGTAGATATATATCACACCCCATATATATACTGATGTAGGTATATATCACAGCCCATATATATTCTGATGTAGATATATATCACACCCCATATATATTCTGATGTAGGTATATATCACACCCCATATATATACTGATGTAGGTATATATCACACCCCATATATATTCTGATAGGTATATATCACAGCCCATATATATAGGTATATATCATATATACACCCCATATATATTCTGATGTATGTATATATCACACCCCATATATATTCTGATGTAGGTATATATCACAGCCCATATATATTCTGATGTAGGTATATATCACACCCCATATATATTCTGATGTAGGTATATATCACACCCCATATATATTCTGATGTAGGTATATATCACACCCCATATATATTCTGATGTAGGTATATATCACACCCCATATATATTCTGATGTAGGTATATATCACACCCCATATATATTCTGATGTAGGTATATATCACTCCCGATATATATTCTGATGTAGGTATATATCACACCCCATATATATTCTGATGTAGGTATATATCACACCCCATATATATTCTGATGTAGGTATATATCACTCCCGATATATATTCTGATGTAGGTATATATCACACCCCATATATATTCTGATGTAGGTATATATCACCCCATATATATTCTGATGTAGGTATATATCTCCACCCCATATATATTCTGATGTAGGTATATATCACTCCCCATATATATTCTGATGTAGGTATATATCACACCCCATATATATTCTGATGTAGGTATATATCACACCCCATATATATTCTGATGTAGGTATATATCACACCCCATATATATTCTGATGTAGGTATATATCACATTCCATATATATTCTGCTGTAGGTATATATCACACCCCATATATATTCTGATGTAGGTATATATCACACCCCATATATATTCTGATGTAGGTATATATAACACACCCCATATATATTCTGATGTAGGTATATATCACAGCCCACATATATTCTGATGTAGGTATATATCACACCCCATATATATTCTGATGTAGGTATATATCACACCCCATATATATTCTGATGTAGGTATATATCACACCCCATATATATTCTGATGTAGTTATATATCACACCCCATATATATTCTGATGTAGGTATATATCACACCCCATATATATTCTGATGTAGGTATATATCACACCCCATATATATATTCTGATGTAGGTATATATCCCACCCCATATATATTCTGATGTAGGTATATATCACTCCCCATATATATTCTGATGTAGGTATATATCACACCCCATATATATTCTGATGTAGGTATATATCACAGCCCATATATATTCTGATGTAGGTATATATCACACCCCATATATATTCTGATGTAGGTATATATCACACCCCATATATATTCTGATGTAGGTATATATCACACCCCATATATATTCTGATGTAGGTATATATCACACCCCATATATATTCTGATGTAGGTATATATCTCCACCCCATATATATTCTGATGTAGGTATATATCACACCCCATATATATTCTGATGTAGGTATATATCACACCCCATATATATTCTGATGTAGGTATATATCACACCCCATATATATTCTGATGTAGGTATATATCATACCCCATATATATTCTGATGTAGGTATATATCACAGCCAATATATATTCTGATGTAGGTATATATCACAGCCCATATATATTCTGATGTAGGTATATATCACAGCCCATATATATTCTGATGTAGGTATATATCACAGCCCATATATATTCTGATGTAGGTATATATCACACCCCATATATATTCTGATGTAGGTATATATCACACCCCATATATATTCTGATGTAGGTATATATCACACCCCATATATATTCTGATGTAGGTATATATCACAGCCCATATATATTCTGATGTAGGTATATATCACACCCCATATATATTCTGATGTAGGTATATATCACACCCCATATATATTCTGATGTAGGTATATATCACACACAAAATATATTCTGATGTAGGTATATATCACACCCCATATATATTCTGATGTAGGTATATATCACACCCCATATATATTCTGATGTAGGTATATATCACCCCATATATATTCTGATGTAGGTATATATCACACCCCATATATATTCTGATGTAGGTATATATCACACCCCATATATATTCTGATGTAGGTATATATCACACCCCATATATATTCTGATGTAGGTATATATCACACCCCATATATATTCTGATGTAGGTATATATCAGCCCATATATACCCCATATATATTCTGATGTAGGTATATATCACAGCCCATATATATTCCTGATGTAGGTATATATCACACCCCATATATATTCTGATGTAGGTATATATCACACCCCATATAGATTCTGATGTAGGTATATATCACACCCCATATATATTCTGATGTAGGTATATATACACCCCATATATATTCTGATGTAGGTATATATCACACCCCATATATATTCTGATGTAGGTATATATCACACCCCATATATATTCTGATGTAGGTATATATCACACCCCATATATATTCTGATGTAGGTATATATCACACCCCATATATATTCTGATGTAGATATATATCACACCCCATATATATTCTGATGTAGGTATATATCACAGCCCATATATATTCTGATGTAGATATATATCACACCCCCTATATATTCTGATGTAGGTATATATCACACCCCATATATATTCTGATGTAGGTATATATCACACCCCATATGTATACTGATGTAGGTATATATCACAACCCCCATATATATTCTGATGTAGGTATATATCACACCCCATATATATTCTGATGTAGGTATATATCACACCCCATATATATTCTGATGTAGGTATATATCTCCACCCCATATATATTCTGATGTAGGTATATATCACACCCCATATATATTCTGATGTAGGTATATATCACACCCCATATATATTCTGATGTAGGTATATATCACACCCCATATATATTCTGATGTAGGTATATATCACACCCCATATATATTCTGATGTAGGTATATATCACACCCCATATATATTCTGATGTAGGTATATATCACAGCCCATATATATTCTGATGTAGGTATATATCACACCCCATATATATTCTGATGTAGATATATATCACACCCCATATATATTCTGATGTAGGTATATATCACACCCCATATATATTCTGATGTAGGTATATATCACACCCCATATATATTCTGATGTAGGTATATATCACAGCCAAAATATATTCTGATGTAGGTATATATCACACCCCAAATATATTCTGATGTAGGTATATATCACACCCCATATATATTCTGATGTAGGTATATATCACACCCCATATATATTCTGATGTAGGTATATATCACAGCCCATATATATTCTGATGTAGGTATATATCACACCCCATATATATTCTGATGTAGGTATATATCACACCCCATATATATTCTGATGTAGGTATATATCACAGCCCATATATATTCTGATGTAGGTATATATCACAGCCCATATATATTCTGATGTAGGTATATATCACACCCCATATATATTCTGATGTAGGTATATATCACACCCCATATATATTCTGATGTAGGTATATATCACACCCCATATATATTCTGATGTAGGTATATATCACACCCCATATATATCTGATGTAGGTATATATCACACCCCATATATATTCATATATATTCTGATTTAGGTATATATCACACCCCATATATATTCTGATGTAGGTATATATCACACCCCATATATATTCTGATGTAGGTATATATCACAGCCCATATATATTCTGATGTAGGTATATATCACAGCCCATATATATTCTGATGTAGGTATATATCTCCACCCCATATATATTCTGATGTAGGTATATATCACACCCCATATATATTCTGATGTAGGTATATATCACACCCCATATATATTCTGATGTAGGTATATATCACACCCCAAATATAATCTGATGTAGGTATATATCATATATATTCTGATGTAGGTATATATCACACCCCATATATATTCTGATGTAGGTATATATCACACCCCATATATATTCTGATGTAG